ACACACACACACACACACACACATACACACACACACACACAGCAGTTTGAGGCAAGGTCAGCTGGCCTGCTCGGTTAAAACAGCACTAACACAGTAAAACACGCTGCTCGTTATGAGTCACTAACCCAGCGCCGTCATGTGTGTCTGTCAGCGGCTGTATGATGATAAAGTGTAATTCACCTGATTAGCAGCTAATCCTCCATTATGACAAACACTAGCGCCTCTGCTTTCAATAATACTCACATTTATGACCGCTTCAGATGATCTGAGGGCGTTTGTCAGTCGCTGATGGAGATACGCTGTGTGTTTGAGTCCTGCAGCATGATCCACACAAACACACACTGCTGATGCTGTCAACTAATTCACCGGGATTTTCACACTTTGATGTTTTTTTTTTTTTTATCAAACCCGACACTGTCAGCAGAGTGTGAAGCAAGAGGAAATGACAACAGATCAGACGGGCCTCCGACCGGATGTAAAACTTCATAATTAAAGTCTCAACTTGAATTTTCTTTTCCACCCACCGGTATGTATTAATACTAAAAACGCATAGATTCTCTCTACAAATACACATATGCAACTACATTTGTAAACAAATCATAATTATTAAATTATGGATCATTCAGATTACAGTGAAATTTTACATTGCCTTTATGTAATAACATACACAAACAACAGAGGGAAATTTACTAAATTATTTTGGGGTCACATATGGAAGCTATGTGTACTAATACAAATTATTTTTAATATTAAACAGTCAACTAAATGCGAAAAAAAATCGATTACATGAGATGTCAGATGAAAATACAATCTCTCGTGAAATATTTATGTATGTATTTATTAAATTGACATCAGTTAAATTACTGATTACGACTGTATTTTTTAAATATCTTTTAAATGTTATTATTATTATTATTAAAAATGTATTTATTTGATTGTTTTTAATTGTGTATCTGTGTGCTGATATTTCCAGTATAACTGTTAAACAATAAATTACTGTATTTGATATCATGTTCCAAATATTTAATGTGAAAAATATAGCCTTATTTTTATTATATTTAATTTTTTTAATAATATTAATGTTGCTGTTGTTGTTATTGTTATTGTTATTCTTATTATTATTATTGATTGATTTTTTAAATTGTCTTAAAATGTGTTATTTCCCGTATAACTGTTAACAGTTACATTACTGTAATTAATATTATGCAAAAGCCTTTACTTCGTTTAATGTAATTTCTTGATTTTCCTAGGCCTTTCCCGTCAACCACACCCGGAAGACAGCCTAGGTGAATATTCACCAATCCGAGGACGGCTTCACCCCCAACAACCAATCAAAACCCTTGGCATGAAACGTCATCTGTAGGCGGAAATCGGTGTGATCGTCAGACTTGAGCAGTGATCAGTTTAGCGCTGTGCGTGCGCTAATAAAGACTCGAGCATTAGCACTCCTGCAGCGTGAGTTTGTGAAGCGCTGCTTTATCGTTATCGTTGAACTGTAGAGCAGAAGCGCAGCAGCGCGTGGTGTGATGGCGTGTTGGTAGAGCTGGGCTGTGATTGGTCAGTGCGGAGCGCGGGTGTTATGGGCGGTGCGCAGATCAGCGGCTGCGCGGCTCGTCAGAGTAAATAAAGCCGCTGCTCGAGCTCGAGCTCTGCATCTACCTGCGCCACAGCACACAAAGCTTCACAGGTGAGTGCAGCGAACATCTTCACAACATTTATACAATTCACTTTATCTGCTACTGATCTTACAGGGCCTAACTAATGTGTCCTTATAATTTAGCACTATGCTAAACTAATATTTCTCGATTTTTCTTTTGTAATAATTATTGTAAAATATTTAAGTGTCGTTTATTATTATTATGTTTACGTTCTTTACTGTTACGTCTATGCTATTTGACTAATATGTTAAACTTTTTTTTAAAGTGTAAATGTGTTTCAGTGTTATTTATTTAATTAATATTTTTTTTTATATTTAACAATATTATTATTCATTATATTATTTAGTTATTAAACAATTAAGTATATGTGTTAGTATGTTCTAAATGTTGTTATCAGTTTACCAAAATGCCTTATTATTTATATACAGTACATTTTTGTTTTAGATTGTTTTGGAGCAATTGTCTTCTATTTGTTTAATAATTATTATGTGGAATGTGTGCATTATAAAGCATGTTTTAGTGTGAAGGTGAAAGAGTCTGTGTGTTTGCAGTGGGGTCAGGATGCCGGAGATTAACACGGATCATCTGGATGAGAAGCAGGTGCAGTTGCTTGCAGAGATGTGCATCCTCATCGACGACAATGACCGGAAGATTGGAGCTGACAGCAAGAAAAACTGCCATCTCAACTCAAATATTGATAAAGGTGCATGATATTTTACTGTTGATTATAATGCATGTGCATGTTAACAAACTTTACTATTTATTTAGTGTTGAATATATAAAGCAAGTCATCAATTAGATGATTTCCTTGCTTCCTCACTGACAGGATTATTGCACCGAGCATTCAGTGTTTTCCTGTTTAACAGCGAGGAAAAGCTGCTCCTTCAGCAGAGATCCAATGCCAAAATCACCTTTCCAGGTGTGTCACTGGTATTTTAATGTTATTTATATACTATTTATTCCTGTTTTTAATTATCTACTAGTATTAGCTGTTATAATTTCTGGTTTAATCGTAGTATGTGCTTTTGTCAGTATTTCTATCTAAACTAATGTATTTATATTGTAGTTTTAGTCATTTTAATGTTTTAGGCAACATTTCCAAAGTTTTTCATCTAGTATTTATATTTACTTGTATCTCAGCTTTACTTCAATTACCAAAACCGATTTTCTAGTTTTCGTTTTAGTTCGCGTGAACAACACTGGATGCTTTTTCTCATTTCCTAATTCTTCACAGAAATCAAATACTAATATCTCAGCTTTACTTCAATTACCAAAACCGATTTTCTAGTTTTCGTTTTAGTTCGCGTGAACAACACTGGATGCTTTTTCTCATTTCCTAATTCTTCACAGAAATTAAATACTAATTTTGTAAGGGGGGTTTCTTCATAAATGTGTGATTACATGGCAAATAGTAGCACGACTGTTGAGGAAGACACTGAGGGCCAGATTTAGTACCAGCTTAGACCAGCACAACTCCTCTTTTGGCATTAAAAAAAACTACTTTCAAGACACACAGTAACACTGAGCGATGAAAAGACGTATTGCATGTGCATTTGTAGGAGTTTCCACTCCCATCTGTACTTTCATGGGACTGCGGTTTAATGCTAAATTGAGTAAATCTGACCCCAAGTACTCGCTCTCTGTTCCATCAAACCGTTGGTTTTCACTTAGACATAGCACAAAATGGCTTAATAGCCTAAGCCTCGCTATTATAAAATGTTGGCGATATGCCAAAAACATCAATGTTCAATACATTCCTCAATGTATAAATAATTATCACAATAACTAATTTGTCCAACAAGTAATGTGCTGTAGGTATCTGGTCTTTCTGATAAAGAATACGGAGAGGTGAGCATAAATTAAATATGGCTCATCCGATCAGATTTTAGAGCTGTAGTTATTCTTTTTCAAATGTTGCCATAAGCTGAAATAAAGTTTAGCTTGTTTGATATGCTTTTCCAGGCTGTTTTACCAACACTTGCTGCAGTCACCCTCTCCACACCGCCAGTGAACTGGAGGAGCAGGACGCCATCGGGGTCCGCCGCGCCGCACAGAGACGCCTGCAAGCTGAGCTCGGCGTTCCCACCGATCAGGTACTGAGACCAGTGATGGGCAAATGAAGCCTCGTGAAGCACTGAGTCTTAAAGCAAGCAGAAAGTCTTCAATTCATAGTCATGGCATTAAATCTTGTGTGTATTGCTGAAAAATGTCGTCTTTTCCTTCATCAACTCACTCAGAAAACAAGATTTCTTATCTTCTATCAGTTTGATTCTCGAGTAAATGTATCTTGATTTAAGAATCTTTAAACATGCACTGGAAAATGACAAAAATGCAGAGGAAGAACTGCACATTTTTTTACAGTGTGATCAGAAGTACAGTAAAAGTAGTGCTGGGCGGTATACCGGTTCATACCAAATACCGGTGTTTATTTTTGTTATGATATGAATTTTTAAAATACCGCAATACCGGTGTATGTCGCTTAAACAACGTTCGGAACGCGACACTGTTTGAAAGGGGTCCCTTTTCACTGTTGCACTGTGGTGAGGGAACAGCTGTATGTGTTACTAAGCATGAAAGTTCCGAAACTGAAGCTGTAGAACTAATAGAACATGATGACACAGAAGAACTCATCCACAATATCCACATTGACAAATATCAAATATCCCCCGCCCCCTGCCATCAGCTCCCG